TTGGTCAGCGTCTGTCTGCTCTCCTTTTGCCCATTTGCCTTCTTTTCCTTTCACCCTTTCTTCCAGCTTCTACATTTCTATATTTCTCTCTCTCTCTCTCTCTCTCTCTCTCTCTCTCTCTCTCTCTCTCTCCCCCTCTCCCTTTCCCTCTCCCTCTCTCTCAGAATGCCTTTCACCCAAAACCCTCAGCGCCTGCTGGCTTCAACTAGGCTTGTGCAGCAAGTACGCTGCCACCAGAACCTATGTGCTATTTGGGTGGAAATACTGCCCCTTTCTACCTGGTTTTGATAATAGCCAGTCCCTCCACAGAGCTGAAGTAAATGTCAGGCCTATGGAACAAGCAAGCCCTGTGGGGAATATTAGTCTGCAGTTCACTAGGAGCAGATTTCTTTTTCAGAGAGCCCTTTCAAATGCTGGGAAATAAATTGTTACTATGAAAAACAAGTTGTGTTTTTTAAAAGAAAAAAAATAGGTTCTGAACTTGAAATAGCTGGTAAGCAAAATATACTGGAGGTCATTCTCAAAGCTTTCCAGGCTCCAAATTATCCAGCAGGCTGTGGGATTGGGCTGTAGCCCCATACGGGAAAAATTAATGCTGCTTCTTCGTGTTTGGCATTAACAAAAATTCAGGGCTTTGCCGATTTAGGAATTTACCCATAGCTAGAAAGATTTTCCACAAATTATGACATTCTTCTGTTCATCTTTGAGAAAGTCAACAGTTCTAGGGATAGATGATGTGTCTGCTTATAACCGATGAGGTGCAATCTATTCTTAACCAAGCCTTTAATTTTTTTTTTTCTGAATCTAATAATTGAGCTAACCCTGCTCCCTTTTGGGGAGAGAGTGTTGGGCCTTTTCACATATCCTTTGAATTGTAAAATTCTTCATTTTGTCCATAAAAAAAAACAGCCTCTGGCCTTGAAGCTGGCGGCAGCTCTGGGACTGTAGAGAGCAGCTACAGTGTGGACGCTCGGTCCTTCTCACAGCCGCCTTTCACTGGCACAGTTCGGGAACCCTTGCTCAAAAACACTAGGGATTCTCACAAGCAAAATCTACCCCTGCATGCACACAGAGGCAGCAGCCACTTTATTGGCGATTCCCTTGCCTCGAGCACAGTATATTTGGGGAAAGAAAATAACTAGCTCAAGAAAGTAATGACAAGATATTGAAATTAAAAAACATGGGAGACAATTTTAATCTGGCTTCCAAATTGTAAGCATTTTGATCATTTAAAACTTTTTTAAAAAATTACAGCCCTAAAGAAATGACAGCTTGATCAAACTTTATCCCTCATTTTACTTTTTGAAAATATATAGGTGGGAACCAATGCAATTTTGTGCATCTGCAAACTGCAAAAGATGTCACTTTCCCAGCTAGGAAATTGCTGCAAAATCCCAGCCAGGTTTATAACGGCACATTCTAAACACATAATACGGAGATTTCTCTGGCAGCCTCAAAAATCAAATGTGACTTCTCGGAGTTGGCCTTTTTGGGGGAAACAAAGGTTGGTCCTGGGCTGCTGGGCAGACCTAGAAGACGCACCTAACAGCAAGGCGGCGAGCTCCCGCTGCCAGCCCCGGGGAATAAGCCCGCTCAGCTCCGGCGGGCCACGCGAGCGGACCACCCCATTGTTTTGAGTAGAAACTTTCTTTTTCTTCCAGTCTTGCCACTTCTCTTTTTCCCTCACCCTCTCCGCACTGCCTTCCGTCCCAGCACTTCTGGACCGCGGTTGCCTGGATGCCTCCCACCCCGGTCTCATTCTACGTTGAATATTTCCACACAATCGAACAACGACCGCCTGAAGTGGAATGCCGGCGCGCGGAGCTAAAATCCCCAACTTTCGCCCCAGGCCTTCTTCTGCTTTCCAACCTTAGAGTGAGATGGGGGGGGGCGAACTCCTACCGCGTCACCCCACAAGCCCAGACACGTCCCGGACCCCTGCGTAGACATCGACGTCCCCCACCCCTGCCACAGTGAAAATGCTAAACTTGTAGCCTCTTACCTTGACACATGTCCGAAATCACAGCCAAGGAGCAGTTGGCTTCTCCACGCCGCGACGCCCGCGAGGCCAGCAGAGGCGAGTTGCTTTAAAGCACACCAGCAACTACTTCTTGAGCGTGAGCCCCCCTCTTTTTGATACAAAGGGAAGCAGGGCAAGTGAAATAATGTACCGTGCTGCTCTTAGTATCAGAAGCGAACAAAGGCCAAGAATCACGCTGGGGTTCCCGGCTCCCCGGCGGCTTTGACATTGATCGGAAGTGCGCCATCTCGTGGCGGCTGCGCGCCTAGGCCCTGCTGGAGCTCCAGCCTGCAGCCGAGAGAGGGAAGCCGGCTCCGGGTAGGGAGAGCGGGTGAGAGCCAGAGAGAGCGAGAGAATGTACCCTGCCCGCTGCTATAGAGATCTCATTTTTACATCTAAGAAATTGCTGCAAAACCCCAGCCGGGTTTATAGCGGCGCATTCCAAATATGCAAATTGGCCGGCCCTGGACGGGTTTACGACCACATTGTCACAGCCATCTGAGGACGGGCTTTTATAGGGCTCAGAAATCAAACCCGCGCCCGCCCGCCGCCCATCAGAGAGCAGTTCTCCTGGCTAGACTCTCTAGCAACTTGAGAGAGTTTGGTTAATCTTTAACCATCCCAAAGGAAGTCTTTCCCTAAACCTGGGCTTCCCTGCCCGCCCCCTCCCAGCCCCCCAGGAGGGCCCTTGTCAGTCTCTGTGTGTCTGTCTATCAACCTAGACGTTTCATCTGGGGTCGTCTCGCTCCCCTTTCAGCTCGGCTTTCCCTGTCGCGCCAGTTAGACAAACACGCAAACAAATAAACAGAACAGGGGCCTAGGGCCTCTCTTCAAATGCGACTCTCTCTGTAGCTCTGGCCCTGCCTGGGTGGCTGGAGAGTGTGGAGTGGGCAACAAAAGGCTCTGTCCTTTCCGCCCTGCCCCTCAAGGTTATGGGTGATGTCCAAATTTAAGGCAGAAGTTCAAAGGCAGCAAACAAAGAGGAAACCAGCATCTTTCTTTCCCCAGAGGCAAAATGCTGCCTGGGCTGGGAGCTGAGGAGAAAGCCACTTAAGAGAATCCTGAAGGTTTGCTCTGCCTTGGTATCCAGGCTGATACCCCTTTGCTGAAGCGATCCTCAGTGCACTGCAGAGGGTTTGTACTTAGGCCTCCCAGTCCTGGGTGAGCAAGGGCAGCTGGGGGTCAGACTCTTTTACCACCTCAGGCCCCAAGGGCTTCTTCAGGTCTAAGGTCAGTTGCACAGGATGAAGTCCCACATTCTGGTCCCTGAGGTATGACACCCCTTGGACCCTATTTTTCACAAAGACATGGCCAACCTAAGCTTGGCTTCTACTGTAGCTAAATCCTGAGTCAGTTACTACCTCACCCCTCAGGGGCCTGGTAACTTGCCCCTTTACTAGTAAAAGGATGTGGGAAGGGGAGACATTTGGCAATAAAAGGCAAGTAGGGAAAGGAATGTCACACCAGGACCTGATACTCAAGTTTCCACTGTCTTTATTTTCCTTGTGCCTGTTTCTTATGTACCTGCTGTAGAGGACACACAAGAGTGGGTAAGGGCCGAAGACAGGCCAATATTCCCATGACAAGCAGAGCCACCAGACACCTCTTTACACTGGGAGGCAGAAGAGATTTAAGGATATGGTTCCTGGTTTTCCCAAATGAGGTCCCCAGGTTCTGAAGGGTTGAGCGGCCTCCAACCATCCCCCTAACTCTTTCCAAATGTGGCAAGAGATTAAAAAGACCATGCTGAACACTCTTCCCATCCCCTCCAACACCCCAAAGAAAATCAGCTAATGGCAAAAACGTATTCAAACAGATTAGGTTATGGTTTCTTTATTTACAAGTCTTTCGAACACCATCCCTGTATGAAGCGTACATTCAAATATTCTTAGCAGTGAGCAATTTTAACCGTGGACCACTGTAAACAGATAGAACCTTTAAATATTTTCATCATCCCCCCCACATTGCATCTTTTTAAAATTCGCTTTGGTTCCTTCAGGGAAATATATATATATAATATAATATTTATCTTTTAAAATAATTCCAAATCACTCTTGGGCTCTTGGAAGGTCGCGGGAAGCTTCCAAGCTCAGTTCTGAGTCAATGAGGGCAGAGTATGGAGCTGGAACTGGGGATTTGGTGTGGGACTCCCGACCCTCACAACCAAAGCTGAGGACCCGCTGGCCAGGCCCACTGCCCGATGTTGAGTAAAATCCAAGCTTCATTAAATGTGGTGGAGACTTGGCCAAACTGCTGCACTCCACAGGCATTTCCTGCAAAGATGGAAGGGCCAGCGGCCAGGGTGCAGCCTCTGGGCTTTTCAATGCTTTCCATCTCAAGGAACAGTCCTATCTGCAATCAGGCTTTAGGCCTGAGTAGCAGGCTGGGATGAAGACCCCTGTTTGCAAGGAAGAAATTCCAGATGGGCTGTAGGAAGTGGCTGCTAGGAGCTCAGACCTGGGTCAGTGTGGTGGGTAGTTAGGAGTGGAAGACATGCATGCCACCTGGATCGATTTCTTTTTCCTCCAGGATCTGCAGCCTTTCTCTGACCTTACAGTCACCTCTTAGTCCAGCTGCCTTTCACACTGGCTTCAGAAAATAGCCCCATTCTGGGCACTTAGCAATCCTCACCTTTCCTCTTGCCCCTGTCCCCAAGCTAAACTGGGCTTGGAGAGCATACAGCTTCTTGACTTAGGAGTCCTGGGGGTGGCCAGGCTCTGTGGGGAGGGTCCTGGAGGGGGGTTGGCCTCCAGAGGCCCTGGCAGGGGGGCCTAGTCCCCAGTAGAGACCACACCCAGCCTGAAGGGACATGGGCTCCAAGAGTGAACCACCAGACATCTCAAACCATTCATCCTAGATGATGCACAATACTCAGAATCCAATTATTAGAAATCTTAACCATTGAGATCTAACCAAGAGAGTGCCAGGCCCTCTGCTGCTTGGGCTATCTCCATGTATCCTTCCTCTCTTGTATACCTCCTTTTTTTCAAAAGTCACCATGTTCCTTGACCTTGTCAAGGGCAACATTTGCATATCGTTTCACATGTATGAAGCCCCCACCCAATTCCAGCCGACTGGAGCCTTAGAGGAGCGGGTTAGCAGAGTAGTACTGTAAACGGTCTCTGTTAATTTTTTTTTCCTTCATTCTTCTATTCTGAAACCAGATTTTGACTTGACGGTCAGTGAGGTTGAGCATGCGGGATAGTTGCAGACGCTTCTCTTTGTTGATGTAGACACTGAAGAAGAATTCTCGCTCCAGCTCTCGGATCTGGTACTTGGTGTAGGGGCAGCGCTTTTTGCGGGTGCGTTGGCCACCTATGGAGGAGGAAAGGAAGGGGGTGAGCCAGGCATGACTTCCGCAAACTACCCCAGAGCCCCGGGTTGAGGAAAAAGAATGGTCACAGGGAGGGGAGGCCCCCTCAAGGTCTCTCCAGGCCCCTACTCTCCTACTGCTGGCTGGGAACGGGCTGCAGCCCGAGGCTCAGCCCTAGATAAAAGCCTGCTCCTTAGACAGGCCCCCCGGGGAAGGTGCTCCTGCTGCCCCCGAGCAGAAAGGAGGGCTCCTCACAGCAACAGGCGAGTTTGTGCTGCTGAAACCTCTTTGAAAGCAGCCGAGTGGGGGTTGCTGGCTGCCTCTCACCCCGCCAGACTAAACAAACAGCGCCTGAGGACATTTCACCTTCAGCACCTGGGCTGCCTGTTCCCGAGGCAGTAAAGGCAGTCCCCAGCCCCAGTGGATGCCAGCGGCAGCCAGGATTTGGCTCTCGGCTCTCACGTTTATATCTGCGACTGCTGTCAGGTCTTTGTCGACCAGAGCCCTGGCCCCTTTACTCTTGCCTCCCCGGCCAGGCTCTAGCTTCCTCGAGGTGGGAGGTGGCAGCAGAATTCCCGTACCCTAGGCCTTGCGGACAGCCACTACTTCACAGCCATTAGCCTTTGGGTACGGACAAGGGTGCTCTTATCGATAGGGTGGAAAGAAGGGGGCCTTCTGAAACTTCAAATAGGCGCCACTTGTTCCCTCTTTAAAGCTCCGCACAAGACAAAAAATATTCGCTTTTGACAGATTTAATAACAATTGTGAATAACATGCAGTTGGACAGAAGGCGGCACGCAATTGCCACCGTGCTGGAGGAAAATGGCTTCCTTTGGACAAAAAGGCCAACTTTGGGTTAATTTGTTTCTTTTAATATATTGCTTGAGCTAAGCGGGCTACTTTATCTGGTAAACGCGCTCCTAGCTCCATCGTTAAACAGCGATGCCTTTGAATCCCAGCCGGGGACTGGAGTCCCAGTGCAACACATGGCTTTTATAAAAATCTCCGGATTACCTTCCTATCAAAGGCTCCTGGAGCCCTTGCAGAGGGAATTTACAGGCGCCCACCTCCGGTTCCCCAGCCTGAAGCTGGCCCCGAGCGGGACTGAGCTGCCGGGTTTGGGAGTTGAGAAGGGAAAAAAAGAGAAAACGGGAGAGTTTTTTTTTTTTTTTTTTTTTTTTCCAGGCATGCTTTGGCCGGTGGGTATTTCACGGCCAATTTCAGCACTCGCCACGTGATCCCGCCTTTTATAACAAAGTTTTGTTGGGGGAAACCTAAAGGCCCTTCATAAACCTTATATGCTTATAAAACAGCATATAAAAATTTAACAGCGGTGCTGCGCTAGATTTCCAACTCCCCTTTCATAAAGCGCTGGGCGCTGCCTTTATACGTACTGGGGCCGCCGGCCTTGTCCTCAGTGTGGCCGGAAGGCGACTCAGGGCTGCTGCTGCTCTCGGGGCGCCGCCGCCGCTCCTTCTCCTCGGCCGCCGCCGCCTCCCTGCAGCCGCCGCCGCCGCCGCCGCCGTCCGAACTTGAAGTTGCAGGCGCGCCCGTGGCCGCCGAGGCCGCCGCAGAGGCCGCCGCCGCGGAGGTCGCCGTGGCCGCCGGGGGCCCCTTCTCCGCGGCGCTCTTGTCCCCGGGGTAGTCCGCGGAGGCGAGGTTTTCCGGGGTGCCGTAGGCCGTCTCGAAAAACTGGTCGAAAGCCTGCGGCAGGACGCCGTTCCTGCCCACCGTGCTATAGAAATTGGAGGAGACGGCGGGGGTGGGGTGGTGGTAGACGTTGGCGGAGCTCTTGGCCAGCACGTCGCCAGGCACGCCGGCCGCGCTGGGCGCCTGAAGGCAGTCTCTGTGCACGAGCTCCTCCGCGGAGTAGCAGTGGGCCAGATTGCCGCGGGGGTGCCATTTAGTGGCGGGCTCAATGGCGTACTCTCTGAAGGTCACTTCGCGCACGGGTTGGACCTGGGGTAGGTTGGAGGAGTAGGAGTATGTCATTGGGCGCGAAGACGGGGTCTGGGGCAGAAAAGAAGGGAGGCTGGAGAAATCTGGACCCGAGACGTAGTAAGTACAACTTGGCAAATACATGTTAGAGGAGCAGGGACCACGCTCATCAAAATCCATCATTGGGCTACCTTGGGCTCTCCGCAGTAGCCGAGCTTAACATGATTCTCCACTGCAGCTGCCTCTTTGAAGCGGATCCGTGAAGTAGAAATTTGGAGACGTAAGCTGACGTGGAAATCTATCCCCATCCTTAGCAGGGAGGTGCTGGTCATGTGACCCGATGTTGAAATTGACAAGCTGCGAGCTAGTCCGGGCGTTTTTCCCCCCTTTCCTTTTTTCCCCCTCCCCTCCCTCCTCGGCTTCCTTTCTTTGTAGCCACCTCAGGGGAAGCAACAGATCGTCACTCGGTGTTCTCACCGAAAGCACGTAATCGCCGGTGTAACTCATGTTGGCTGGGGGGCCTCCCGGCGCGCAGCAAGGCTGGGGTGCGCCCCTGTGCAGCTTGCTGTTGCTCAGCTGCACGATCCCAGCCTTCGAATGTGCCTAGGGCGGTGAGAAACTCAATTCCCGTCGCCCCTACCCCCACTCCTCGGGTGGCTGAGGGATGCTGTGTGCTAGGGGTGGCCAGGTGGAAGCCCAGAGCCCCGTGGCCCGTGGTCGGGGAGTCGGCTGTCCTGGAGGCTTAGGGTCGCGCCCCTTCTTCCCAGCCCCCCACTCCAGGCTTGCTCTAGGAAGCACCCCAGCCTCAGACCCTGGCCAGACCCCATTGGGGGCAGGGTTCGTAGTAGTCGTGGATGTGCTGGCCCCGTGGCTTGTCTGATTTGCACGGTGACTTGATTACACGCTTGCATTCATGGTCACTTCCGAAGCGCTTTAGTGCCTTCCGTCCCTAAACCGCCAACAGCCAAGGCGGCTTTCCCCGCGGATTGTCAGTGATCCACGGGTCCGGAAGGGCCTTCGTCTTACCCGGGATCCACCTTTCCCTTCACGCTCCTTGCCCACCTCCTCACCCCACCCCTTGTCTTTCAAGAACCCCCCTTCTGCTCCCTGCCTGCCGCGGTTCGGAGTGACTCGGCAGAGCTAGACGCACGGGGGCTGCGCCTCTGCTCGCTGGTCAGCGCGCCTGCCTGGTCTTCTGGAGCTGAGGAATCGGGAAACCATGCAATTGAGGCAAGCCTTGGGCTGTTTTAGAGGAGCTGACATCTGAGGAGCCTTCTCCTGGGTATGCTGGACCTTTGGGGAGGGGGGCTCGTCCAGGCTGCTTGGGGCTGTGGAGAAAATGGGGGTGGCAAGGAGGGCGTATTGGCTGAGGAGTCCTGGCAAAGAAAGGGATAATCTGCATCCTCTTCTTCTTGCAAAGTGAGAGAGTGAAAGCAAGGGAGGTGCAAGGCAGAAGCTCAGAAAGCTCGGTGTCTTTTCCTGCCACTCATTCCAGAGAAGGAGCACAATGCCAAAGAAAAGAGAGGTGTTCCTCCAACTCCCTGCACCTTGGGCAATTAAGGATGCCTTGCAAAGGCCAAGTTTGTGCCAAGGACAGAGTCAGAGGCCTTAGCTGCTGATGCGAACCTACCTTCTCAGGAGGAGGAAACAGAGAAATTGAGAAGGCAAAATAATGCTCATTACTACTCTGTAGGATAGAAGGAAGAATATTTTGGGGAAACGAAAGAAGAGCGAGGACTTAGAGCAGCCGGGCAGGAACAGGGAGAAGTCCTGTACCCAGGGCCTCCCCAAAACACTGTTCTTAGAAGGAGCTGGGGTGTCATAGAAGGAAAATTTAAAAAATAAAAAATGAAAACCCCTTCCCTGTCCAGGAAATAGCTAAAGGTATTTACATATCTTGAGGAGATTTAGAGTATAAACTCTTAAGATCTTTGGTATTTAAGTGTCAACATCGATTTATTTATTTATTGCTGAGCTGACTGTAACTGACTCAATAACAAATTTAATCATGTATTGCACTGGAAAAGAAATATTCTCATTATGTATTTTCTCCCAATAATGACCCGCCATTGCATTTGAATACCCACAGTAAATATCAATAATATCAAGTAATTACTCTGTAGTGGAGTAAACTAATTTATTAGCATTAATGTTTATGTGGCTTTCCCCCTTTACAAGGATTGCTTATCACAAATCAAGCCAGTCAGACACATTGGTTTAATGAACTCTTTATTCAGGATTTGCTGCAAGAACTTGCATGCCCCTTGAATCTCTGAGAGCTGAACTTGAAATTATTTGTGCATCTTCAGCTTAACATATTTGTCCACTGTGGCTTTCGTAGAGGGCAGCATCGGCATGAGTGAGACGATCCAGTTGGAGAGAAGGTTGTTGGGGAAAGGCAGTGTGGGACCTCCTAAAGCTGGGAATCACAATTATGGGGGTGCCCTGCAGCGAAAAACTTCTATTTCCTGCAGCGACCCACAAGGCAAAATATTTGTTTCTCCACAGTATCTCTTTCTTGGAGATGGAATATAAAAGATAGGAGCAACATTTCAAGCAGCTGTATTTGAATAGTTCCTTGGCTCAATTTTTCACTATTCCAAACTCTCCCAGCAGCCCACCCAGTCCTCGCCACCCCTATCCAGGAACAAAAGGAATGCATGAAGGGTTTCAGTGACTTTGCCATAACAAAGGCGCCACCATTGCAGGGCTCGCCCCGCCCCTGGGTGAAGGCAAACAAATTCTTGCACTTGTATTAGGGCTTTTAAGACCATAATTGAACCCGGGGGCGTCTAGGAGAACCAAAAACAGTTCTAGACAGACCTGCGGTTTTATAGCAGTTTTGGCAGTCAACTTCAGCTTGTGCCTGAGCAGTGGGGCCGCAGTCGCCCCACAGTGGGGGACGCCAGGCCACCTTCCCCAGCTGCATGCAGTCCCTCTCTTCATTAGATCGGCTTCCTCTGGTGCCAATGAGAGGGTGTCCCCACAGAACGGTCAGTATGGGATTGTGTGCTGTTCCAAATAACCACTGTCTCCTATGCCCTCCTCGAGAACCAAGTCAAGTGGGTGCCGGCAGGATTGGATCTCTTGGGTATCTTCAGGAGACAAGGCAAATGCCCAAGGAAAGGCTCTGTTGGAGGAAAGAACTCCAGGAGTGGTTGGCAGGGTTATTTGACAGGCTGTTGTAGAGCTGGGTGCCCAGAGGAACTAGAAGCCTGGAAGAGGGTGTGTGGGGGCGCTGCTGTGGAGATGGAGGAGGGAAAAGGCTTTGGATGGCAGCAGAAGGGGAACCGCCTGGAGCTGCTGAATGCTTTTAGTTGCCCCAGCAAGGACATTAAGTCGAGGTGTGCAGATCCCGCAAGCCTGCAGGATGCCCTCGGGGTTGCCCACTCCTGCTTCACTCTTGCAGAATATACTTAGTGGTGCAAATGTTCCTCCAGGCAGCCAGTGAAGGTGAAGGATGGGTGCTGTTCTGAGGTTTGGACCAAATATGGGGGGAGAAGAGGGGACAGAACTGCTTGTCTTTGGTTTTAACTATGCGGAGTCTTACAGACTCTTCTGCTTTGCAGGAGGCTCCACGGTCAAGCTGAACCTACCTGGCTCTGGGAAAAAGCTGACTGGAACTAAGGCCATCCCGGAAGGCCAAGTCCGAGTTCCACTTTAGAAGCTGCCGCGGCAGGCAAGACTATGACATTGGCCCTGGCGACTGGTTTCTCATGAGCAGCATGTTACTTCACGAAAGCTCCACAGTGCGGGGCCATCTCCCGAAAACACTCTTCAGCGTATATTTCCTTTAATCGTCAACCCGGAGCCCCAGGGCGGCTAATGCAAGAGGCCAAAAATGTTTGGAGGAAGAAAAACAAAGGCAGGAAGTGGCGGCTGCCTGACGGTGCGTGCGCGTCTGCAAAGAAGGGAGGGAGCCAGTTCAATCTCTTGTTTTTCCAAACTTCAAGGTCTAGGCAGCCTTTCCCCGCCAGCTGCCTGTCGGTCGCTCCTCCGCAGTTTGGAGGTGGCCACCCGGAGAGGAGAAGGCAAGGCGTCCCTGTCGTCCTGATCAAGGAGGAAATGGCTAACAAGATTTGTTCAGCAAAACAGACCAAAACCAAGCCAGTCAGGGTCTTCCTCTGATCTGGCTTTAAGACTGGGAAGGGAGGATGTGCATCTCCCCAGCCCTCCCTGGCAGGCTGAGTGCACTCTGGCGGGGATGGTGATCCATGCACCCTGCGTTCCACCCGCTTTTGCAGGCAGGATATCAGAATAAAGTGTCCTGGCTCCTCTGCCGCATCCGCTTCTTCTTGCAGCAGGAGAGGGCCAGGGAGCTGCGGGAAGGCTCCAGCTGCTAGTACAGAGTGGCAGAGCAGCTTCTGTACCAATTGATGCACACTTGAGCAATGTAAGGCCTTGTCACCATGGTTGTCATGCCAGGGCCTTTCCAACAGTTATTCAAAGGATACTTGATAGGTGGCTTAACACCCTCTCATGCCAAAGGAGGATATAGCTGGTGGTGGGGGTGCAGGTGAGAGCATCTCTAGACTCTAGGCTTCCAAACTCCAACTGGCCAGGCTTTTTTTTGTCCTTTGGGCTGGCTTGGGAGACAGCAGCTGCTCCTCGTCCCCCAAATCTGGGAATCTGAAATGGCCAGTGTCTGCACTTGCAGCCCTTTGAATGCTCAGCATGTGGTCATCCTGTGAATGCCAAACTCAGCTGCCCACTGTCCACTGTCCTCCAGCCAGTACTGTCCCCCAGCCACTCATGTTAACTGTGCCTGCCCTGCCTCTTTCTAGCCAATCTCCTTTTTCCAGGCCTCTTGACTCTCCTGATGTCACTCCTCAGCTGAGCACCAACTAAGGTGCCACTAGAAGGCAGCTAGTACTCATGTATAGAGAGAAGGGTCTATGCAGTTTCCGACTCCCCACAATTTTAACTTTCACCAGAGACCTACAGTTATTTCTCAGTGGATTGCTTAAAGTGCCATTATTATTTCTTCTTGCCGGCAGGAGCTGTTACTTTCCTCTGTCCCCAAATGTTGCACTGTTTTAAGAAAGCTAAGCTACCCTGTTGACCATAATGCACACATGTGCAAGAGTTGGCTGGAAGAATGAGGGTGGAAATGGACAAAGGGCTGGAGGCCAGGTCTTCATTTGGGACTATTTCCTTCCAAGTTGAAGGTATCCTTGGTTTTTTGTGGTGAGCTAAGAGGATGCTGTGGGGATGGCCCAGGAAATCTCCCAGGATTTCTTCTCAGGGAATGATTTGTTGGCCATCACCTTTCCTTCTGGTAAAATATCAGGGATCACCTCTGCCATTACCAAGTAGAGACAGGGGTCAGTTTGTCCCGTTGTCAAGGCACTGACCCTCCTCTTCCCTTCCCCATAGCAAGGAAACAGGTAATACCTTGAACTTGACCTCACATTTGGTTCTTTGTCTGACTAGCAAGTTCAGTCATGCTAGAATGTCCTTAATGTCTGAAGGAGTCTATCCATCTGGCCACTGGGAAATAGGGCAGAGGGCTCAGCTGAGGGTCTCAATCACCTAAACAATCTGCTTATCATTTAGTTTAGTGGGTCTCAAACCCATGGGAGAAGGAAGCATTTCTTCCTTTGAGATCTATTTTTATTTTTACTGTTGCTAACTCATTAGAGAAGAGTTCACTCATTTCTTCATAGAGTGGGGAACAAATGGGGCAGGGAAATACTGAAGGGTGAAACCCTAGTTCTCAGGGTTGGCCTTCTATTTTCTTTGCAGCTTTGGCCCAAATGTGGTTTCCCTAAGTGTGTGCAATAAAGAGGACAAGATAGTAGTCCATCCATGACATTGGTTCTGGTCCTTTGTCTCAGTCCCCAGGGCTGTGGCTCATAGGACACCCTCATGTTCCGGGTTGCAAATGCCTTCTAGGGAAACTTCATTTTTACCCAGTGCCAGTGGCAATTAAGATTCCAGGGTTAAGAATAGCCCCTACCCCCATCCAGCCTTGCCCTAGGGGCTCTCTGACCAATTCAGCCTGGCTGTTCCACCATAGTACTCACTTGTAGACAACTGCACTGTATCCCAGTCCTGCCCATGGAACTCTAGGGATAGTGTCAGTTTTTCTATCTTTTGAGGAAAGAAAAGATCATGTCTAGACACTTTGGTTCACCTAGGGCAACAGGCTCAGTGGCAGACTAGACTTAAGTTCTCTTTGCTTCTGGGCCTGAGGCTCTGGCCTGCAATGGGCAGGGAGTAAGGTGTTTCCTCCCTGCAGAACACGGTGAGGGGGTTCTTGGGGCCAGTACTCAGGGGTTTTTTTAGTGGCAGAGCACACTTCATTTAGTAAAGATCTTAGGCCTGAGGAGAGCATCAAGCATCTCACCACAGGCCTGCCATGCACTCATGGCACCTCTGCACTCAGGCAGCCCAGCAGCGTCTTGGCTTTTCCATCTTACTCCAGGCCTGCTGGCTCTGAGCAGCCAGCCACTTGTTCCTGCCAGAACCCAGTTTTCCCATCCATGCAGTCATGTCTGCTTCCCATGAGCTTGTAGAGGCTCCTTTTGCTCAGGCTAGGCCTCCATGGCCTCCAAAATCTGCTGGACTGGGGTCGATCTTGCTCTCCCCCGAAGACACAGCTTGGTCCACTCCTGAGTGTGGGACTCCTTTTGAACATGATAAAAGCATTGGAAATCAAGAAAGAATCCACATGCAGTGCTCAAGCCCAGGCTACCAGAACCTGCTTGCAGCACAAGTAACGGCTCCGCTAGTTGTACATCCTGGGCCTTCCAGCAACCACAGCTGCAGCGCCTACGGTGACGGACCGGGCGATCAGCCCTGACCGTGAAGGCGGTGAAGGCGGTGGCTCGCAGGACTTGACCTTTACCGCTGCAAGGAAAGCGCGCTCCGCGCTGCCAGGAGGAGGCCAGCGGCGGCTCTGGCCTCTTCCACCCAATAGCAGCCGGGCAGCCCAGGGCGGGCGGCGCGCTCACCACCCTGGTTCCCGCTCCATTTTGTGTAGTGTCCGCAGCAGCAGGCCGGGGAAACAAAGCCCCCAGCACTGCCCTCACCACCTCCGTCAACTCGGTCCCCAACCTCCGTGTCACGGGGCCCAGGACGGGAGCCAGCAGGCTGAGGCCTTCTCCAGGCCCTCATCTCTCGCCTGACCCCAGCCGCCCCGGGCGCGACTCCGGGCGCCCCCGGCCTCCCCGGGGCGCGCGGTTCCTGCGCGGGATTCCCGGCGTCGGGCGGCGGAAAGCGCCGCGCCTCGGCCTACTCGGCGTCGCCGGCGCGCCCCGCTCCCTCGGACCGCACCGCACCGGCCGGCCGCGCCCCGAACGCGGAAGCCCGTGGCAGCGAAAAACACGTTTGCTTTTCAGCCCGTCTCTAAACCCCTTTTAGAGAAAAGGCAACTGTCAAGTTTTATTTCCCGTTGCGAACCACCTTCGAGGCTGCCAAGAATTAAGCCCGGAGAGATTAAACGCCCGGTGTCCTCGGGGGAGGCGGGGCGGGGCGGGAGCGGG